CAAAGGCGTACCATCGGATCGAGTCCTTGTCCTGGGAGTTTCAGGCAATTATCATGGACTCTCGGGAGGTGTGTGGAACTTGCAGGACCCCAGTCCAGCAAGAACAGGTGAGCCTTCTTCTTCCCTATGTCAACGTCGCTGACCATTACCGGTAGAGTATGGACTCGATAGTAACCAACACATGAACTGCAATCCGACCACATCCAAACCTCTGAGGTATGGTCACTTATCGGACATGGAGGAGTGCCTTCAAGAGCACCATGGCCGTGTCGCCGCCGTCATTATCGAGTCCATTCGCAACACCGGAAAGTAAGTAGACGTTCCACGAATCCCCGCTTTAGCTGCTTCCCGCCGAGTGCGTCGCTGATGAAGGTCCCAGCACGTACGAAGAAGAGGTGAATTACGCTCGTGGAGTGTATGATCTATGCAAGAAGTACAGCATCCTCTTCATCGCAGACGAGGTCCGCATGGGCTCTGGTAAAACCGGCAAATTCTTCTCCTTCAACCATCTCGGAGACGACTGCCGCCCAGACATGCTCGTCATCGGAAAATCTATCACCGGCGGAGCATATCCCGCCTCGTTTGTCCTGAGCGACAAACACATCATGGCGGTCCTGAAGCCGTACGAAAGTGGCTCAACCTTTGCCCACACCCCGCTAGCGATCGCCGCTGCCGAAGCCGCGATCCGAGCTATCGACGAGGAGGACATGATCCAGCGTGCGCAAGATCTGGGAAACAAGTTCAAGGAATTGACACAGCATTGGAAGCGCCACAGACATGTGGGCAGTGTGGAGGTTCGGGGTGCTGACTTCAGCGTGAAAATAAACGAGGACGCCGCGGCAAGTGTGACTGCCCGCCGTGTCGGAGGCCTGTGTTTGGCCAAAGGTTTGTTGCTTTATGCACTGGAGGGTCGCTTACGGATGAGCGTCTCCATGGTGATGACGGATGCACAGCTCGAGAAGGGTGTCAAAATCATCGAAGAGGCATTGGATGAAGTCAGCGGATACAAGGGCGTCATTCCGGGAGAAGTCTGGCATGGAGCTCATTAGAGGTTCTACTATAGCATATCGCCGGGCGCTGGATATTGCATTGTTGTGTCTTCGGGACATTTGGCTCACAAACCTGTTCATACGAATGGCGCCTAAAATTCTACACCCCGATGTCGACAATACCCGATGTCTAACGGTCCGAGAGATATCTTCTGTTTATTTGATCGGAGTTTCTGCCTTTCAAGCGCCCTATCCATCCATTGATCACATCCACAGGGGCTACTTCAGCTTTACCAAACCCTCCCAGAGCCATGCATCCGCCCTACCTAAGTTAAGATGATATCGAGTCCTAGTTTGGCCATCGAGTTCTCCCACGAGATGTCCTCATTCGAGGTGCTACAATCTCTTCTCTGCCAAACATCAAGGACAACCTTCTTCGCGGATAGGATATTTCCTATGCCCTTTGATTGACCCTTTTCAAACATCCGCAGCGACCGCGCGCGCAAACCGGCCACATCTTCGGCCTCACACGCTGTGACGAACTCGGGCCAGAACAGTCCGCACACCTTGTAGCCTCGTTCGACTTCGAGATTGCGGATGGCTTCAAGGTGATCGAGGCTCCTTCGCACGAGACGTTGGAGCTTTGTAGCCGGTGTATTTTTGAGCCGCCGTTCGAAGTAGATGACAGCCGCACAAAAGAAGGCACATGTATGATGGCGAGCCAGACCGTCTTCGCTTCCATCTATATCCAGAACAAGGGTATCAGGGTCGCTGACTCGGATGTGAACTTCCAAGTCGCTTATTTCTTCCTCTGTCGCTTGACGAGCAGAAGTTGACAAATGCTTGATTCTCATGATCGCCTCCAACGTCGACTTCGTAATCCCGAAGAGCTCCTCCAAGCAATAATGCTTATCCAGTATGGTTTTTGTAAGGGGACAGTTGCGAGTCTCAAGCGGTTCAAGGATACTGCTTGGTGTGAGACCACGGATGCCAGGATTTCCCAGAGTGTCGATACAAATGAAAATTTGGCACAACGTCCAGAAACTTTCACTCTGGGTGGCATTGCTTGCTATGGTCGAACGTAACCAAGACTTTCCACCAGCCAGATGGGTACGCCAGGTTGCAGAGGCTCCTATCATGACCTCAATGGATGACATGGTAATGATGGTTGCTAGAATCGCTTCCCGGTGCGGCGAGTCGGCCTCGGCCTCGTCCTGCGATAAAGCCATCCATAGGTGACGGAGACTGATTTCATGATGTTTCGTACCAAGACCCTCCACATATGCAGGAGAGGTTGGAATTCGGGCCTGATTGAAGGCAGAGACAGCATATATCGCGTGTAGCAAGGCTACATTTGCAGAAGAACTTCTGGTCGAGTCCGATGCTGCAAGCGCCAGAGGAATAAATATAGTGCGAAAGGGGTTATCCCGGCGTGGAGTTGGTATCATCATTTCGCTTAGTTCAGTGATCCAATAATGCAAAAGCGCACGCTCGTCTGGTGAGGCGGATGATAGATAATTCGTGACATGTGGTTGAACTTTTTGTTTGATGGATATCATGGCCATTGCCGCATCAGGATGTTCATATTCGGCAAAGCTGGCCTCAGCCATGCATGAGTGCTCATTGTTGTCTTCTTCACTTCCGTCAAGACTGGAAACCGTACTCGGTGAGGCGGACAGGACTGAGGCTGCAGAGGCATAAGCATGGCTTTGTTGACTCCCTTCTGCGGGGCTGGTCGTGGCGGAATCTTTTGCTGTCGGACTGTTAATCTGATCAGCTCGCTGGAAAAGAGAGGCTTCATGGCTGGGTGACGTTGATTGCGAGAATTGGAAAACGGAGAATGGCCCACTGCTTGTTGCAAAAGCGATGTCCGGTTCGATGCCGGCCGAGTCGATCTCAGCCAACGCAGAGTTAAGCTCGTCGAAGGTGAGAGATGGATGCCCAGGGTCTTGCCTTGGTATAAGCGTTCGTCGTTGAACACGGTGACCGCTATTCTGCTCGTCTTCCCAAACTAGCCTCACACTATATCCTTCACAGCGGATTTCGGCGTTTAAGCATCTTCGGCACTCGGGTCTCTGCTCATCGCATTTCGTGCCACGCTCTCGACATGTCCAGCACCCCGTGTATGTTTTCGTCCGTCTGACAGGAGCCCTAGCTTTGTAAGGTGGAGGGTGCGACACAGTGAATGTACGGGGTTTGCGAGACCGAGGCATGGAACCTTGATGGCAGTCGCAAACGATGCGGTCGGTTTGTTGGTGGCGGAGCAGATTGAAATCTGCCTGGTAAGATGAGGAAGGTAAGGGCGGGGAAAGCAGGGTTTATTAACGTAACCCTTATCTAGGTAGCTTTCAGAGATAAGGTGGGGAGGCAATTCTGGCCCATTCGCACACGAGCTAGCTGTAACTGAGCGGATGCCCTGCTTTTTAGTCGGGCTTGCATCTCTGTGTCAGTAGCGGCCCCACCGCAGATGGACACCAAGTGATACGGTTGCACCACTTGAAACCCCTAGAACGTCTCGGCTGGCCACCTCGCCTAGACACGGTACCTACGACCTTGACTTCAGCATCTCAACAACGCTGCTGGTAAAACTATAGGACGGTCACTGTCGACAACAATGGCTGCAAATGTAAGGATAACCCATTGATGAAACGAAACTTCCGGCGATATCATCGGTCCTTGAAACCTGTGGCAAATATATATATATATATATATATAGGTACATAGCAATCATATGCAGCATGGCAATCAGTGCTGGATTGCTAGAAACAATTTTTGGTAGATCAAACGCAGCATAGTCCTCCATTCGCATTCACCGTGCTGCCCGTCGACCACCTGCTTCCCTCCTCGGATAAGAATCCCACAATCTGCGCAATGTCATCCACAGTTCCGATTCTGGCCGCTGCCGGGGTCTCCTTCATCTTGACATCCCACTCAGCCAGGACATCCGCACCTGTGTCTCGAAGCCACATGTCTGTGCACACGGGGCCGGGGTTTACGCAATTGACAGTCGCGTTGTAGTCCTGCCCGAGTTCCACGGCCCAGACCTTGGTTACTCCTTCTAAGGCGGCCTTGGATGCTGTATACGCGGTTCCGTATGCACTACCCATACGAGCCATGACGCTCGATATGTTGACAATGCGAGGTGCTGGGCCGAAATGAGGCATACATTCTTTCACCAAGAAGGTGGCGAATCGAACGTTGCAGTTCAGGAGTTTGTCCCACAAGTCATATGTCATGTCCTTCAGCAAGCAGTCGTCACCTGCTCCGGCGTTGTTGATGACAATGTCGATTTTCGTCCACTTCTTCACGGCCGCATCAACGATACGTGTCGGCCCGGTCTTGTCACTGCCTCCAGCTTGAATGATCAGTGCTTCGCTGCCGTGGCTGCGAACCTCTGCTGCCACTTCTTCGGCTTGTGTCCGGGCGCTCTGGTACGTGATGAGCACATTGGCACCTCTGCTTGCAAGCTCGACGGCAATGCCTGCGCCAATGCCCCGAGACCCGCCTGTGACGATTGCCGTTTTCCCTTGAAGTGATTTGGACATTCTGTTGATGTGCTATCACGTGTCGGTAACAAAAGTGGCTGGTAGGAGACGATGGACGATTCTGGCTAAACAATGAGTGTTATTATAGATTGATTGTGCAAAGAAATCTCACGCTGTGATGGATCCTTCCAGCTCCCGACCGCGGCCGGAACCTTAGCCGAAAGAAGACTAGTCTTGACTTGATGGTAGTTTTTGAAGATCGGCCCTGATTCGTTTGCATCTATCAAAAGCTATGCATAAGACAGAGACGCTCATAGGCAATTTGCTATCTAGCTTCCCAAAACAGCGACTAGTCTTCGGCTGGTACAATCTTATTGTCGGTTGTTGGCTCGAAACCCGGTCGTCGAATAAGGCTAAGCTTATCCAGGGTTAAGCGTATTCGCTGTCACCTGCCCCGTCCTCATGAAACCTCTTTTGACGGGCTTGCGGGGGTGGCGTGGGGTTGGGTCCCTCATTTCGAGACCTTATTGCAGTGGTATCTGGTATTAGATGGGAGAACTGTCCACCGAGAGCAAAGTTGTGCCACCACGGAATCTTGCTGCATATATTTTGGCCTACACGATTCCGCCGCCACCATGTCAAGTTTGACGAAGGCTTCAAGATGGGAGAGGTTCTCCAGCCTGAAACCGACATCGACGTCAGCACAGGACGTGTCTCGCCCAGATCGAAGCCGTTCAAGCTTTGGAGCACGCTGGGAATAGCGTACTCGATAACTTCAACCCCCTTAGCCATCGGCACATACCTTGCTGTTTCGATCGGGGTAGGTGGGAGCCCCGTGAGCATCTTTGGCTATATCATGGTTGTCATCCTAGACATGTGTGTCTGTGTTTCGCTGGCCGAGATGGCTTCTATTATGCCTCACTCTGCGGGTAAGTCTTCGCCTTTGCCATGGATAAAAGATGGCCATTAACTAACGTTGCGGTGTAGGTCAAATTTTCTGGACTGCTATTTTGGCACCCAAACCTCGAGCACGACCATTGAGCTACGTTGTGGGATGGTTCACCAGCGCAGGCTACTTTTGCTGGACAGCGGCGTGCTTTCTGATCACGTCGCAGCTCATTTTTGCGTTGGTCGAGATATGCCGGACCACTTTCATTGTTCAGCCCTGGCACTACTACCTGGGCTACGTTGGCACAGGGCTGTTCGCCGTCGTGATCAATATTCCTTTGTTCAAGTGGTATCCATACATCCTCAACGGTCTAGTGGTTTACATCAACGTCGCCTCGCTATTTGTTATGATTGCGCTCCTGGTCCGCGTACATCCCAAGCAAAGCGCTGACTTTGTCTTTGTCGATTTCGTCAACAGTACGGGCTGGAATTCGAAAGGGGTTGTGTTCTTCCTCGGTTTACTCCCTGGTCTCACAGCGGTGAACGGCTTCGACTGCGCGGCTCACGTGGCTGAGGAGATGCCCAATCCTCATCGTCAGGTTCCGCAAGTCATGGCGCTGAGCGCACTTCTCAGCGCGATCAGCGGCCTTGTGATGCTTCTCGTCTACATGTTTTGCATCACCAACCCCGTCAACCTCCTCGCCCCAGTCGGCGGCCAGCCTATCGCTCAACTCATGGTTGACTCCTTCAATAATCTACCCTTGACGATCGTTGGGGTACTTGTTTTCATAATCTGCTTCCTCTTCGCCTCTTCCACCTTGTTGACCACCTTCTCACGCGTGCTCTGGTCCTTCTCACGCGACGAGGGCATGCCTTTCTCCGGTACCATGGGCAGGATGTCCGCTGGATCCTCAATTCCGGTCAATGCAGTTCTGCTCGGGTTCCTGGTGTGCATACTAATTGGCCTTCTCGAATTGGGCTCCTCAACCGCCCTGAACGCCATTCTCGGTGCCGGCATCCTCTTCATATTCGCATCTTACGCCATCCCGATTACCTGTGCTTTGCTGCAGCACCGAAAAGTCTTTGCCGCGACACATTACTTTGACCTCGGCAAGATTGTTGGGCGTGCTCTGAATGTGATCAGTGTGGTCTGGATCTGTTTCATCTTTGTCTGGCTTTGCTTTCCACTTTATGTTCCGGTCACGGGCGTCACAATGAATTATGCCATTGTTGTCTTCGCCATAGTCGCAGTGTTGAGCACTATCAATTGGTTTGCGTGGTCCAATAAGCGTTTCAGATGTCCAGAGGCAATGGTGCAGACTTCGCATGGAGAGGTTTCAGCCTAATGACGGGTACTGAAACTGGACTCTGGTTGGACAGTGAATATGCAAGCTTCTTCTGTAGATCTTTCTCCTCAGCAACCCTTCGATTCTTAAACCAGCACGCAGTGCTTGAGATATCAGTATGTATCGTAGCGTCGTCGCGTACATTATGAGTTATCTGGCGTTCAAGGTCTTAGTGTGGTGTCCCGACTACCCACTACTAAACGAGCACTGCCTGACCATAGCTTGACCGAACCAACCCCACCGGTGCGGTTCCGGGTAGGGGTATCGGCTATGTGAGGTTATGGAACGGTCAGCAGTATATGCATTTATGACTACACCAAGGCATTGATCACTCGAAACAAGGGCGAAGCTGGCAAAGCAGCGACCAGAATGAGCCGCAGGTTATTCGACTATCATTGACGCACGCTTCACAAAGCAAAGCGGGCACTGGAGGAAGTCCTGGTACGACCTACCTCCTGTGGCAAGAAGGCCTCTTGATATGGTTGTGATCTCCGGCCACAGGGATCGTTTGGACTCGCCGCATCCACGGTTCTCGGGGACCTGTAATCTAGGCTTGGGACTGGGATGAACACTCGACCAGCATGGAAACGGACGAAAAGGTAAGAAGCTGATTGAGTTCATTGGAACGGCTTCTCAAGAGATCTTGGACTACTGTCTGTAGAATGACGGACGGACAGGCCTGCAATAAGAAATGAAAGCCTTAACTCAGGGTAACTGACACTTATTCTGCACCAGTAGCTCTCAGGATCTCGCCATCATGCAAATCAAATAGCGCACCATGAAAAGCCAGAGTCGTTGGGTGTTTCCCCCTTCATGACGCCGCGCAGGTGACATTCGCCTACCACAGTGTGCATGGGTTCATCTGTTTTTGAGACTGTGGAAACCACGATATTACTGTCAGAGTCCCTCTTCGGACGCTCGAGCTAATCCTTTTGCTGCAATTTCCTCCACAGCTGTATTGGATCCGTATGGTGTTCTTGGCCAGTCGTTGATGCATGGGCTAAAGTTGTCCACCTTGTTGTGATATGAGGCTCAACCGACTTATCATGACATTGACAAAAAGTCTTATGGAATCATTCCGCATGCTTGGAAATTGTAAGGAAGCTTCTAGTATGCTA